TACGGGCCCTCGCGCGCCCCTGCCCTCGCCACCGACGGCGAGAGCCCTCAAAAAGGACGACCGTCGCGCGTGCCCTCGCCCCGAACGGTGAGGGACGCGCAAGACGAAGACAACGCGCCGTGCTCCGCCCCGGACGACGAAGGGGCGGGACGTGAAGACAGACGTTCGCTGCGCCGCGCGCCCTCAGCCCGAATGGCGAGGGACGTGATAGATAAGAGCGTTCGTTGTGCGCTAGGCCGTCGCTACCGATGGCGAGAGGCCTCAAGGAGAATATGAGTTCGCGCGCGTCCCTGCCCTCGCTACCGGATGGCGAAGAGGGACGAGGGGAACGCGATCTGCCATCGCCCCTTCCTCCTCCGCTTTGAGGAAAGCACAGGCGGGCGTGCTGTGTCACGCCGATGACAAAGGGGAATTAGAAGCAACGAACAGACTCGAAGAAACGCGTCACGATGGAAGCAATGTTTACTGTGTCGTCCTCGACGACGTAAGGGAAGAAGGGCACCGCGCGGTTGACGACCAGACCGCGCGGTCAGCGACTGGCATTGTTCGAGGGCCCGCGAGACCCCGAAGCATGTTTATCCGGGGGACAATACCCCGGATGCCGAGGTGTCTCGGTGTCCAGTTCGGCGAGGCTAGGCATGAAGACATGCGGCGTGCCCTCCCCATTGACGGTAGACGGAAGGGGTAGCCGGGCGAAACGAAAGGACCGGCCTGGATGGCCCCTCACCGGGGGCCACCAGTTCCAAGGACACGGTCGTGGACCGCGAGCGGGACTTCTGGAAACCCGGCGGAGGGAGCGGACCCGCTTGGGCCAGGACGACGCCACCCCCACGCGGTCCGGATGACGCACTTGGGAGTCCGAGCCCGCTCGAAGGCGGGGTCCCGACGGCCACCGCCTCCGCCATAGTTGGCTTCACGACGCCCGGGGGTGACTGCCGGAGAGGAATAGACCGCGGGTCGGCCATGCTGACACGGGCGGTGACGCGAGAGGGGACGACCAAATGGCGCTGTCAAGGACGAAGTGGGACAGTGCGCAAAGGGGGGGGGAAATTCGTATACCAGGTCGGATCTGCTCGGGGTTCAGGGAGTGGGACGGACAGGTTCTGCAAGCCTCAGGAGTGAACGCGGACGTTCACTCTTGAGGGGGGGGTGATGTGGTATAACCCCAAACGCAAATTAGATTAGGATTGGATCAGGGACAGTAAGGCAACGAGCCTTACAGCCATGTGCGCACACACGTGTCCTCCACGTGTACGGGACGCGTACTACACGTGGACTGTCAGCCCCGCCGGCTGACAGCGCTACAGTGTCGGTAGACCGGCACTACTGTAGAGTTATGATAGACTACGATGTACATTAAATATGAGCGGACCGCCGGCGGTGGAGGACGACAAGCACGGACTTGTCAAGGGTCCTCCACCTTGGTCCGCCCGCTTACTTTTAGGTACTTCCGTCCGTTTTACCTAGAAGCAGCACCGCGCGCGGGTTGAGGACGCGCGTAGCACGCCCACGAGCCGGCTCCGCCTCCGCCCGTCGGTACTGGAACGTCACCCAGTACCGCTCCGGGGCGTCGAGGCGTAGAACCGCTCGCGCGTGCGCGCGTCCTCCCCGATCCCGCTCTACCACCGCTACCTCGAGCCCGTGCTCGGTACCGTGGGTGGGCCGTGCTTCTGTCTTCCCGCCGATCGGGGTCTTTCCGAACTGTCAGTACTCACCCCCCTCGTCGTTGGGGGTGATTATACTACACACTGCCAGTACACGAAGGTTCCGCAAATTAAACTTGACCCCTAATCTCCTCAAACGGTCAAACTCTTCGACCAAATCCTTGTGTAGAGCCAAAACCCAGGCTTCTCTTTTACGTCCCCTACCAGAGCTTGCTTTAGTAAATACTCGCGTGAAACCGTTACGCGAAACACGCGTGATGGAGCCTTTTTTGCCTTGTAACACCACCTTGCCTTCTTTATCGGTAAAATCTGACCTCGACTTCCAAATGCGGCTTGCCCGTACAAGGTTTGCGTTTCGGGTTCCGCGAAAAAGATCTGGGAATTCGGCAAAGGCTTTAGATGCGATACATGTTTCCCCGTCTGTCCGTACAGCCTGAAGCATCCATTTAACGATAGTCAATCGTTGCGACAGCGTCAAAACGCGCTGCAAGCTAAGCTTTTTTGTCGTGTCTGTAGTTGGAACTTCGTTCCTGTTGATTACAGATGAATTTGATGCATCTGTATTTGTCCCCGGGTTCGTGGTCGTCGAATGGCCTTGGTGCAATTTGCCATTGCGAAGCTTTGCGCTCTCGAGAGCGGCAATAATAGGGGAAGCAGATGCCGGCATTGGGAGGAGGGGGAATGAAGTGAAGGTGGTGGGAGGAGGGAGAGGGAAGTGAAAGTGGTGGGAGGAGGGAGATAGACGTGAACGGAGGGGAGGAACGTGAAGTTGTTGGGAGGAGGGAGAGGGACGTGGTCGGAGGGGGAGAGACTTGAAAGTGGTGGGAGGAGAGAAAGGGACTTGAAGGTGGCGGGAGGAGAGAGAAGGACGTGAACATTGTGGGAGAGAGGAGAGGGTCTTGAACGTGGTGGAAGGAGGGTGAGGGATGATGAAAGTGGTGGGAAGAGGGGAGCGACGTGAACGTGGTGGGAGGATGGTGATGGACGTGAACGTGGTGGGAGGAGGGGGAGCGACGTGAACGTGATGGGAAGAGAGCGATGGATGATGAAAGTGGTGGGAAGAGGGGGAGCGACGTGAACGTGGTGGGTGCATGGCGATGGACGTGAGGGTGGTGGCAGGAGGGGGAGCGAGGTGAACGTGGTGGCAGGAGGGGGAAGGACGTGATCGTGGTGGCAGGAGGGAGAGGAACGCGAAAGCGGTGTCGCGAATTGAGATCTGGTATCTTTTTCGATCTAATGCCTTTTTTGCTAGTTGGTGATGTTTCGTCCAAATTGTAAAACCATGCAGTATTTCGGTCGCAGACGCAACATGTACTGTAAACTTTTGCGTATTGTGAGCTCAACAGATCTGTCGCCACGTTCCGGATTTTTCGTGGCAATACAGTGACACCCGTTTGGAGGAATTGTGACACTAATTTCAATTGGCCGTTTTTCAAATCACCGTTTTTGTGTCAGTGTCACTATTTCGCGTTGTTACTCTAATTTATTGGTTACACTAATGACAGGAACTGGGTGTAGTGTCTATCCGACCGGGGCTTGCCTCGAAACGGCGATCTCCTCTCTCGAGGAGAGCTCTTTTTTGCGAAAATTAAATTGAACATTCAGAAAGCTACCTTGAGTACTATTTCCTATCCTTAGAGCACCCCTAGTGTCTATTGGACAATGCGCCTCATTTGAGGATTTCGCCTCATACAGTATGAGGCTTTTTTGCCGCGCCGTTTCTGGCGCAAAGAGGGAGAACTGAAAGCCATAGCTACCGCGAAACAGTAACAGTAAGAGTAAAAAAACAATGTCCAAGTCCCTTGAAGGCACCTAGAATGCACGGTATTTAGGAGGGTCTTTCTAATGCTCTGACAGACAGGAAAAATCCTCGTGATCAACAACGTCCGTCCAATAGACACTAGTGGAGTGAGTATCTCTAAAAAATTTACCATCTTGAGTAAATCTATCTCCAAGCAGCCGACCGGATGGAGACAGATTTACTCATTTGCGCAAATAGAGATGCGAGTAGAATTGCGCCACTTGGAAACATTACCAAAAATCCACGCCAATTCTATTGACTTGGCGCGAGCAATGTTCTCTGTGCACAGGGAACACACTGTTTTCTGTGTACAGGGAACACCCCCAACACCCCCATCCCAAGCTGAATTTACCCGCCACTGCCATCCTCCTGCATTTTTCCTGACGCCTTCCCTTCTCCCTTTCCTCCTCCTCTCCTCCCTGCCCTTCCTCCAGGGCATGATGGTGTCATGTGGGGCTTGAGGAGATGGGAACCGGAGACGTCCCCCACAGTATATCCGTACAGCACCACCACTACCATCCCTCGCACTGGATGTCCACGGCTGCCGAAAGAGCCAATCACTGCACAACACGTTTGAATTTGCCCTCTAATCGGTAGTGTTGCGCCTCGAATCGCTATCTCCAAACGCTAAATTTCTCATATTTAACCTCGAAATATAACTAAACCAGTAGGGGTGCTCTTAACGTGCCAATACGCAGAAAACTTAAGAACATTATGCAGATTGAGTACCAAAATGCCTCTTCAAACTGGCTCTTTTGGTTTCAAAGTTGTTTTACATGCGGTTTTAAGGTGGTTTAAAAAAGCTTCTTTTCCAGACATATCTAAAATTAACAGGAAAAACAAGCAATTCTCACAAAGTTCTTTCTGGCCCCAAGTCAGAAGTCAAGTGCTGTGTCACGGGTATCTTTTTCTCTCCATGTTGAGAAAGCGAACGTCAACAATAAAATAGGTCGAATAATGCCCTCATATGAGGACAAAAGTCCGATAGGCACTAGAAAAGTAGATTTTCAAACCATCTTAAAACCGCATGGAAAATAACTTTGAAACCAAAACCCCCAGTTTAAATACGTAGTGCCGAGGACAAGCAGAATAAGAAAATAGTGTCCAAGGGAGGTTTTCAAACGTTCAAATTTAAATATATATAAAAGAGCGCTTTTCGCGTCGGTGTACACTACACGGTTGTGGACGGGATAAACATAGAGCTGATTCGGGATACAGACGCTCAATGAAATATGGCTGGAAATCGAGGACTGAGGGACGGGTGGGGCAAAATGATTCGGCACAGGTGCTGGCTCCGGTGGCACGCTCAGAGCATCTCTACCGCGAGTCTATTCTCTAATCTAATAACAAATATTCAGCCGCAGAAAAAAATGATACTCTACCGCACGTTTCTAATCTATTCGAATAGATTTTAGGATAGACAAGTGGGCTCCGTACGCACTTCGCGCGCCGAGCCAAGTCCTCGTAGAGGACCAATGGCGGGGAAGGGTGGCAATAGTTAGATGTAGAGATAATGGCGTTTACTTTTTTGATGACTACTGAAGGAACTCGGAGTACACTACGTTTCGCGTTGTTTCATCGGACTCTCGAGTGAGAGTAGTGACGTTGCTTGGGTGAGTAGTCCTCGATAAGGCGACGTAGAGCTGACCGTGCGAGAAGTAGTGATCTCGTAGGTCGAGACCAATGCGGCCACCGAAGGATTGGCCTTGCGCTTTGTTCGTTGTAAGGGCGAAACACGTCCGAATGGGGAACTGGGTTCGGGTAAAGCCAGGGATGGGAAATTTGTCGTCACCCGGTCCGCAGGGCATTCGAGGAAGACAGAGTCGGTTGCCTTCGTGAGACCCGGCGGTAACGCGTAGACAGAGAAGGTTGTTGGTCACGTTCTCGATGACATATCGCGCTCCTTTGACGTAACCGGAAGTGGGATCGATATTGCGCAGAAGCATGACGATGAAATCTTTCTTGAGCATGAGCTTGTGGTCTGGTAGAGCAGACCCGGCTGTCAAGGTGTTGAGCATTTCTGTGGGATAGATCAGCGCGTTTGTGTTTTCGTTCTCGACCTTTTCTGCGCTTAAATACGTTCGATACGGCCCCGGAATCATGTTGCCGATGACCTCGTTGACTTCCTCGAGCGGCCTGTTCTTTGTGGTGAGTATAACGTGCTTGGTGAGCCAGGCAGGGTCGGCGTGATTGTCTCGAATCCCTTGGAAGACCTTGACGTATAAATTGCGGATGGTGTGCTCGAACGCAACGGACTGTGGTAGTGAGATCCATTCCGGGCGCTGTTCGCCTTGAAGTCTGCCTTCCCCGACGCTGAGGAGGTACTCTGGAAAGTTGAGAGCACACATCTGCTGCAGGGTCTGCTCGGAGGGCAGCAAGGCGCATGTTCTCGGTAAGGCGAGGAATCGGCACTCTCGATACAGCGGGGAAGCCTTGACGCACGCGCTCACGATTGGACCTCTGGACCCGCCCGGAACGACTGGAAGGATTTGTCTAAAGTCTCCAACGAGCACGAGGAACTTTCCTCCGAAGGGCCGGTCGGTTTGTATCAAGTCGCGAAGGGAGCGATCGACAGTCTCAATGCAATGTCGATGGCACATGACGATCTCGTCCCATATGATAATATCGATTTGTTGCAGTGTACGGCCAGTGTCGGAGTTTGCGGAGAAGCTGCACGTGCTTTCGGCAGATACAGGAATGGGAATCTTGAACACGGAATGAGCCGTGCGTCCACCGTCGAGCAACACAGCAGCAACAGCAGACTTAGTGACAGCGATGACTCGCTTACGGCGTGTAGCATAAGGACGCGTGTCCTATCTACACAAAAATACTGTCCGCGTGGAAACGTCAACCACGTGGCAAACGTTATGACAACGACTGTCATTTTTCGGATCCGTCTAATGTTGCGTGTAAGGCGACCGATCCTTACAGTACCTCGAGTACAGTACTGTAGCGCAACGGCGCAAATAGTCGTTACGAAGTCTCCTCTGTATTGGCGCCGTTACGCTTTACGGTGTAAGAAGTACAGTATTACGTAGTTAATAAAGGAGGCCGCTAGGGGAATGAAGAGAGGACCATCGACAGCGCACGGAGGGCGAGTCTGGTCAAGTCCGACCCTTAGTCGTCTACGCTTTCCTTTCTTTTTCGTAGGTCTTTTGGCCTTTTTCCCTTTCGTTTTCAGTTCTACGTTCCGACCACCCACTCGAGAGTGAGACGCTACGACAGCGCGGCTCCGTGCCAGGATCCGGACTCCGCGTCGTCGCCCTGACCGCAAGGGCGCCGAGTCACGCGTCGTCCCGTCGATCTGCCAGCCGTTGCTCGTTGGGGTGTCGAACCCATTCAAGACTCTACCACGCTACCAGGGACACGTTCCCATTCGCTTATTGGCACGTACGCCCGGTGACATCGCACTTCGAGGTACAGTATACGCCTTGAGCCCGCTCCCGCCTTCGTGGTCTGTTGAGCGCTGGGGTGTTATACTACACTGGTCTCCGGACCTAGAAGTGTACGATCACTTACGTATTTGCCACGTACGGCATCAATAGTATCCGATCGTCTACGTTGCTCATGAGTTCGCCTCACCGATCCGTCGACGGCTCCGAAGCCGCGGATCCACCTGCTCCGCCCCCAAGGAGTGACGTTCCGACTAATGTCACTGGAAACCGTCCCGACATACAGCCGGTTACCTCGGCGTCGCCACCGCCTACGTATGAGCAGATGCTTCGAAACCTCGACGACATTCGAGACGCACTCTGAGAAGACGTGTACGACGATGTATACGAACGATGCCGTGGAAATCTACGAGACATGATGTTGGGCCGATATGAATCCTTCACGCAGAAACTGGTGAGCCTCCGTGCTCACGTCGATACGATTGAATCTCGACTCGTTCTCTGCGAAAGTCACATTCCGGACGATTCCTCCGCGGATCGTCTGCGCGGCCCGACTGCCGAACAAATGCACGCGTTCGCACATTTGACCACTCAAGTACAACAGCCACGCACACGTGCGAACCGCCTACGAGAGCATAGGGACACGTCTCCCCAATCGCCTGCGAGATTTCGCGACGATTCTCGGCCTTCGCCAATCGTGTTGCATCCTTTCGAACCATTTCCTCTTCGTACGGAACGCTCCGAACAAGGAGGGTCTCCGGAAGAAACCTCTCTCGTTGAAGAAACCGCCCGGTTGAGGGATCGAATGCCAGCCCACGTGGGAAGGCCTTACGAAAAGGCATTACCGTCTCAGATCCGCTCCGGACGCAGAGGCCCAGGCCTTGCGGTGTCCCCCTTCGGTCAGCTCGGTCCGCTCGAGCCTGGCCTCGAGCCCTCTACTACCTTAATTCAAGAATTCCGACACGTCGTCGACTATCGCCTCTATCGTTTGGAGGACACGTCAAACTTTGTTACGGAAAGTGACGCCGGTCACATAGCGAAATACGTGAGACGATGTCGTCGCATTCGACCTACCATGAAGCCATTCGACGGATCATCGCCGATTGGCCTCCTCCCATTTTTCAAGGACCTGAGCATAACGTTCAATGCCCAGCGTCTCAACGAAGGGGTCGCCGTTCGCGTCGTTGAGCATTTCCTCGAGCGTGAGGCAGAGCGGCTGTACACTTCATTCACGATGAGTGCCATACGTTCTGGTACTCTCCGGACGAGTGCCTCGATTACGTGGCCCACACTCGTCCAAACGTTTATCCAGCGGTACTTGACTGATGACGTTCTCAGTCGAGCTTATGAGAAGGTCACGACCATCCGCCAACTCCCGTATGAGAACGAAAATGCGTACGCAGATCGGCTCGAGGCCGAAGCGTACGCCTGCACCGCTGTATTTTCAGACGCCGCCCTCGTGAACTACTACGTAAGGGGCCTGGCCCCCGAGACCCGAGACGTCGTAGCTTCGGCAGTCCAACGCTTGGCCGTAAACAAGCGCACGGACTTATCGTTGATCCGCCGGATAGCACTAGCGGAGGGTAACACGCATCGTGCGAGATCGGGGAAGGCGTTGCCGGACATCGGTGTCCATGCTCAGCGAACACCTCGTTCACCCAAGGCTACAGCTAGCTCCAAAACATCTTCTGGATCCTCGCTGTATGTCGAAGAACAACGTGAAGGCCGAGGCCTCATCGCAGGAAATGCAGGTCTGTTAGACGCCCCTGCCGGTTCCCGCTTCGAACCTGTGATGGTCGTACCCGGGCTCCAAGACCTCGAGTCCTCAACTACAGGCGCGACGACGTCAACTCCTTCGATCACGGAAGCCGTCTCCGAGCTAGACATTACGAGACGCATCGAACGCTTTGTACCAGCGAAAGTACCGAAGCTCACGAACGAGCAAGTGGGCCTAGCACTCTCCATTGCGCCGCCCAACTCACAGCAGTACCGTTGCTGGCTGTGCCGGATCGTTGGGCATACGTTGTACAAATGCCCGTTCCTCACGCAGGAACAACAGCTGTACTCCGCGTACCAAAACTACCTATATCAGCTGGAGACGCGTCCGCATATGCGCAACCTCATCACACAAGTAGCGACGGACCGCTCTCGAGGTTTCGTCAATCAAGGCGGCCGAGGCCAAGTACGGTTTAACGATTCGCAACGGCGACCTCCGCCACGTGCGGGCCAAGAACAAAGGGGAGCGCCCTCCAGGTATCCCGCCGTGAGGATTACCGCGAAAGGCGTCGACCATCGAAGGGCGACGTGGAAGGAGCAATGATGTGTCTACGAGATCTAGTTACGTCAGATTTTCGCCACCTCCAAACGTGACGAACGGGTGGCCCTACCCACGAACGATCCAAGCCAACCGAAGGCAGCCCCCGTTATGCTCACGCCGAGTGGCGTAAACGAAGAAGAAATAGACGACGGGGAAACCAGCGGGTCCTATCGCGATGCACGGCAAACGTTTGCCGGTCAAGAAGACGCTAGATCGTCCGGAGACAGTAGTTCCTCGGGAAAAGATTAGGGTAAAATACGATTGCGCGGTTCCGCGATTTACCCACGAATGCTTCCCAGAAACCGCTGCCCACGACGGAGGAAAGGACCGTTCCAGGGATCAGCTCCAGAACGCGATCTGACGATCAGACCGGACCTCAAAGGTGCGGGAAGCCACAAGATAGCCACACGCGAGGGGCCACGGGTAACGTGAAGGCCCATGTCGACGAACGACATCCCGAAAAGAAGAAAGGGCGCGGACGCCGCGGGCGATGGAAGCGGTCTCGACAGAACGCATCCCTCAGAACAGGGGAGCCACGTGTGGTTGATGGATTCGTTTGCCTTCTGTCTTCGAAACTTTACAAGGTCTATGGATCTATCGCTACGGCGACGAATGCATTTAAGCCATATCGAATTGCAATTGACACGTGCTCCGGTTACAATCTTGTCCGTCATGATTGCCTCCCCCCGGACTGGCGCTCTTACGAGATTCCCGGAGCGCCGTTGCCACGCCTGGCTGGAGCAGATTCGAATCCTCTCAAATTGACTTCCGTCGTACGCTTGGCCGTACGCCTAGGGAACGTCACCTACGGACTACCTTTCGTGGTAGCGGAGGCCCTCGCAGTCGACGTTCTGCTCGGGACCCCATTTATAGACGTACACGTTGCCTCGATCGACGTGGTCAACCAACGTCTGGAACTCCGTCGTGGAAGTGCTGTCGCAGTTGTAGGCGCAGAGGGCGTGGAAGGATTCCCTGGAGAAGAGGGGGCCTCACCGAAAATCCGTCTCGACGAAATCGCAGTGACAACGGTCATGGGACGGAAGCGGAACCGATCCGTTTGGCTCGTTGGGTTACGATCCCCGCAATATCGCAGTTCGCCGTTGAAGTGACGACTAAGGGATCCGGACTCGTCTTCATGGAGCCGAAGCCTTCCCTGCAAAGTCGCCAGGGAGTACGTCTCACAAATGGCGTCGTGGACGTAATGCCAAATCGTACGTTCAATGTCATCGTTGCCAATTTCTGGCACAAGCCAAGAAGGCTCCCTAAGAACACGGTCCTGGGGTACGCGAAACGTAGCCCGTTGGCAATCCTTACACCCGAGCGTGGGGTAGCCGAAGAGATCGGCCGTGTGCTCAACATTTCTCCGCTGTCGGATACCTCGCCAACGCAGGGCAGTGCCAAGGACACAGGAGCGGACGATCCGTCGAAACGAAGTACTCGAGTTGACGAACCCCCTCATCGTGAAGAGTGGGAATCAAGAGTCGACCTGTCCCGCGTTAAGGATGGGTCACTGAGGTGCGAAATTATGAAGATTCTTCGTAAGCATTCGGCTATGTGGAACGGATCCCTGGGTACCATCAACGCTACAGAACACCGTATCGACTTGGTGGCGGGTACGAAACCCATTCGTTCTATGCCTTATCGACAAGGCCCGGCCATGCGTACGTAAGTGGCCGCCGAGGTCACGAAGATGCTCAACGCAGGAGTCATCGAGCCCGCCACATCGGAATGGGCGTCACCAGTGGTACCTGTACCTAAGAAGGATGGCACGTTGCGTTTTTGTGTCGACTATCGACGGCTGAATACCAAAACGTTGGCCGACGCCTACCCCCTACCTCGTATGGATGACTGCATAGACTCGCTCGGGAACGCGAGGGTCTTTTCTACGTTA